CAGATGTTAACAATATGGGAAATGGTGGTGAAGGGGTTTGGTATATAGGAGCTCTATACTTTGTTCTCAAATTTTTTAAATAAACCTATTATTTCTCTAAAAATAAAGTCTCTTAAATATCTCTATCTTGTTAGATAGATATAATTTTTTGAATAAATTTCATATATTTTGATCAGAGGATTGTACTTCTGAGATTCTCCTGAGAAACAGGACATTTTAGAAGGACAAGTTCATTTATAGAAGGGGAAAAGAGTAAGCAACCTGGAATTGCTCACTAGCAAGTACACGGATACAAGCAAACTAAACAATGGCGGTTGAAACTGCTCTGAACGTGGACAGTGCTTCCAGAAAAATGCTGATGGGGAAACAATGAACAGCTTCTTAGGATAACTATGTAAAACAACACAAATGGTTTCTAGCCCCTTGATAACGTAATTGCTCTGATGCCATGGGGGCGTAATAAGATTATGGATAGCTTTTTTTTATTCTTTTCCCATTTCCTATAATATTTTAAATATATATTCATAATATATATTTTTGAAGGTCTATGACCCTCTAGCTAGGAGAGAATGACAAGAATGGTAGCAAAGCCGGACAGCTAATCCTAAATGCACCAGCTCCAGTTCCACGAGAACTGCGTAGGGGCACAGGCAGGGAAGTTAGTGTTCTTTGTATTTGGATAAATTGTAAATCATTTGGGTAACTCCCTGCAAGTCACAAGGCTACACAGCTCCTGTTGCATACATTCAACCAAAGCGATTGGCATCTGGAGCTCTGGCTTAATCGAAAAGATACTGTTGAGAACATAGTACAGTCACCCTAGGGGTATGGAGCATACAAAGATGTATGGAAAAAAAGAAATACAGGGATCAAGAGAGAAGGTTAAAACTCTTTACTCACTCACTCACCTACCCAGAAAGGCTGTATTTACTGTTTACTAGAGGCCAGGCACTGGGGATACACATATGAATAAAGTAAAACCTCTGACCTTTATTTATGTTTCCACACTGCGATACTTTAAATGGTGGAAAAGCACACTAACTGCATAGACAGGCATAAACGGGAGCTCTGTGGTCACCCTAAATCCTCCCAACATAGGGCGTCTCCCCAAAGGCAGGGACCATCCCTACAAACTATAAGATGATAACTACCCCCTTCCCCCACCCCACTGAACCCCATGCTTTTTAACTTATGCTGATTTTTAGAGTCAGGAAACTTATTTCTGATTCTACCTCCCACCCCACCCCCTCAAAATCAAGCATTTCAGATCAAGTATCTGTGAATCATAGGTCAGGTTGACTCATTCTTAAAGTTTCCAGGCTGTGAATTAAAACTATATTGATCACTTGGAGGGGGGTCAAGTGTCGGAAGAGACAGTGTGACTCGCTCTACATTTATCTGTAACAATGCAAAGCAGGTTTGTAAGTGTTTTATTGAAATGGGGGTGGGGGACAGGGAAGACACCTGCTGAAAAGTACTCCCGGATGCGTGAGGGTAGGTAAATGAATAGGACCCATCCGTCCCTTTTCCCACGAAGTGAAGATCTGCATCATGCTGATGCTATTCACCCGGATGCCTTTTTGTTTCAGTTTGGGTCACGTGAACAGTATTTAGGGCAGGCTTTTGGAAACTGTTACAGATTCAGAGCCTATAAAGTTGTTTTTCAGGGAAAGGGGAGGGAAGGTAGCTTGGGCTGAACACCTGCTGCAATCCCATTTCATCTCTTCGCGGCGGAGCAGGATCCGGCCAGGTGATGCTCCTGGCCTCAGGAGCTCGCAGTGGGGGAGCTGCCCAGACCGTCTTCAGCCCGTATAGACCTGCACAACCAGGAACACTGACCCCAAGGGATGTTCAGAAACAAGCTCACAGGAGGGTGAAAAAGTGTGGGGAGCAGGGAAACTGAACCCCAGAAACTCTGTGGGGCTACAGCACCCACACAGTTTTCACACCGACTGACCACGACCTTTCACCTGCACGATCGCACTATCTCCAGACCAATGTGTAATGCCAAGGCCAGGGGCAAGAATTCTCGCCCCACGTGGGAAAAACCTGACTGGGACCCCGAGGGAAAACCAGCCTGTGTGTGAATCACCCTGTGACCCGTGTGGTCCTGGGTCTCAAAGCAGGGGTTACACAACAACACAAGCTCCGGGGCTCGGGTGGTGGGGGGGGGATGTCTACCTATGAATCATGGCTTCGCAGAAACTTCTCTGGGCCTCCCTGGAAACCCACTGAAGGTCTTCACTGGGGACTAGGGCAGCTGCACACTTCTCATGGGAAAGAAGGTGATTTCAGGGGTTTTGGTGGCCTTTAAGGGTGTCCCATCAAGTCGCAAGATGAACTATCTACAGGTGACAAGGCTCAGAAATGCCAGATGAAACACACGTGAGTGTGATTTTTACTTTCCTTTTTTTTTTTTAAAGCAGATGTTTGGCTAATTTGAAATCGTAGTATGAGCAGTTGGACATCCAGATGTTCGTGACTTGTCTAAGACCACACAGCTGGAACTACAGAAGCCTGTAAGGAGAACTGGAGGTCCATGACTTCTTTTCCCAACACCGCATGGCCTTGCTTAGAACAGAAAGTTCACACAGAGCAAAAGAAAAAGAAAATATATACATTTTAGTTGGGTAATAAAGTAATAAGAGTAAGATCCAAAGGTGGTACATTCTGGACTTCGTGACTTCTACCCAGCTAAGAGCTCTGGGCTGCATCTCCAGTTAAAAATTTTAAAATATATTTTGGGGTGCCTGGGTGGTTCAGTTGGTTATAAGTTTGTCTGCCTTCAGCTCATGATCCCAAGATCCTGGGATCGAGCCCTGAGTCAGGATCCCTCCTCAGCGGGGAGTCTGCTTCTCCCTCTGGGCCGCCACTCCTGTGCTTTCACTCATTCTCGCTCTCTAATAAATAAATAAATAAATCTTTAAAAATTTAAAAAAATATATATGTATTTCAATTAAAATATAACAAAACATATTTAATTCATTAAAATTAAATTTAAAATATATCCTAAAATTGCCCCTCTCCCATCTGGACACATAGTGAAGAGTGGGCTCATACATTCTGTGTAAGAAACCTGGGGCTTTGTGTAAATCCCATTATTCAGAGTCCAGTAATGGAAAAGGCTTACTGAGTCCATTGTGCAGATGAGAAAATAAGGGTCCGTGGAGAGGAAATGACTTGCCCAAGGAAAGTCAGATGACTATGAGCAGAGCCAACACGATATCTAATATCACTCTCTCTGGAGACCTGTGGCGTTCCCCGGGCACAGCACACCCGCAGACAAGGCGATTCAGGTCCCTCTGGCACTCCTCAGCATTTCCCAGGATTCTGTCAACCGGTTTGGCATCATCTCCAAGGCACCTGGCTGATTTTCATGAAATGTGTTATAGCTACCAAAGGTAACAGTGGACATGGTAAGTTTCTTAACATGAATACAAGAAGAGATCCTGAACTACAATGAGTGTGAGAACAGATAAAGAACTTACGTATTTGATCGAATAAAAGGTATATCCACACAATGTGATAAAACTTGGTGGCAGTTAAAAAAGAAAAGGCAGCTGACATGGACAGCACTCCTGGATCCGTTGCTGAGGGCGAAAAGGCAAGTAATTAGTTTATCAAAGGTCTAAATAACAGCACCCTGTGCTTGGGCACGCGCACGCCCACTCGTGTGTGTGTGCGCGTGCACGTGTGCATGAAAGTACATTAGAAAAGTCTACAAGGTTGCGTTCCAAATAACTCAAGCAGAGCTGATGAACAAACCAGGATAGGGACCTAGTGACTAAAAAGAACTTTAGCTTTATTTGGAAAGCCCCCCTCCACCAGGTGAAAAACACTCATTTACTATTTGTGTAATAAGCTTTTTTTTTTTTTAATACTTTATTTATTTATTTGACAGAGAGAGAGATCACAAGTAGGCAGAGCCCCAGGCAGAGAGAGAAGGGGAAGCAGGCTCCCTGCTGAGCAGAGAGCCTGATGCAGGGATCGATCCCAGGACCCTGAGATCATGACCTGAGCTGAAGGCAGAGGCTCAACACACTGAGCCACCCAGGCATCCCAAGCTTTTTTTTTTTTTTTTTTTTTTTTTCTTAAGAGGAAAATGGGATTTTATTCATTCATCTTTGTATCCATCCTACTATTTGCACACTTACTGCTACTGGGTGAGAGGAAGATTTGTCTGCTTGAGTCATGTAATGAGGTAGGTTACATATGTTCTGGGGAAGGAAGGGAACAGTAGAGAGTGGGAAAGTAAAGGGATTTCTGTGTTTCATGGGAGACCAGAGGCCAGAACTGTCCCCAGTAAAATTCTGTCAAGGCCTGCCATCTTGAACAAAAGGGCAATGACAATTGTTCGCAAATGGACAAAACTTTGATATATGTATATATATATATATTTTTTTAATTTATTCTATTTGAGAGAGAGAGCATATGAGCAGGGGGAGGAGCAGCGGGAGGGAGAAGGAGAACCCCAAGCAGACTCAGCGCTGAGTATGGAGCCTCATGTGGGGCTCATTCCCACGACACCGAGATCATGACCTGAGCCGAAACCAAGAGTCAGATGCTCAACCGACTGAGCCACCCGGGGGTGCCAAATTTTAAAGGAATTTCAATTGTCTTTGACTTTAGTTAACTAGAGTTCACAAAGGAATACAGGATGATACAAAGGACAGTCTGTGGTCCCCAAGAATTTAACTCCCACAAAGGGAGATGGTTTTGGTGTTTTTGAAAGACACGGACTCTTTGGCTGTGTTTATTGGTACATAGGCTTACTCTGCTAGGCTAGAAACGGCCTCCGCCAAAACGGCTGTTTTGCTTTGGATTTCCAAAAATAACTCATAAGAAGCCTATAGTATGAGGAAAATGGTCACACACAGCTCTGGGAAGGAAAAGAAATAACATTTGATTTGAATCACCTAAGAGTGGAAATTGAGGCAAATATCTCCTTATAGCAACTGCTGTATAATTATCCATCCTAATGGGATCCTTTCAAAACCAAAGCAGCTCAACAAGGAAGTTTAATTGAAAATACAATTTTCAGACCAACTCTTCTGCCAAAATCACATTGAATGAAGATAGCTCAGCAGTGACTAAATCACTGCTAAATGTGTCATGTGTTACGGGCGAGGGGCAGGAGAGGGTGGGTGTTCTCCTATGTGGGGGAAACACAGCAATCTCCTGGGCTCCTTTTTCCAGGTTCGTGTGTCTTCTAGTCACTGGACACAAGGATTCACTTCTCTCTGGGTCAATGCTACCTGTGCCAAGTGTTTTCTGGGCTCCTGAAAGTAAGAAACCAGAGTTAAAATCTCAGAGATAAAGACAGGGAGAGAAGAGAAAATGATACTCACCATCCAACCCGTTCATTAGTGCAAAGATGACTCCCATTCCAGACGTAAGCTCGTGGAGGACAGCAGTGATGAAAAATGGCCTTCACTGCTTGGTACGTTCCTCTGTGTCCCTTAGCTGTGTGACCTCTGCTGAGTTACTTAACATGTCTGAGCAGTTCTCTCACCTAAAAAAAAAATGTATATATACACACACACACAATTTATATACACACACACACACACACACACACACACTATATATACACACACATAAATATATATTAAAATATATATTATATACAATATGTACATATGTACGTGTATATATATATATATTCCCATACCCTCTGGATAGTCAGGAAGATGAAAGGATAATGTCCATTAACTGCTAACCAGTGACAAAGCTGAAATCTATGCCGTGTAGTGCTCTAGACAGTATCTGGTACCGCATGGGGTGGGACTCGATGTTTCCTTGCTATTCCAAACGGGTCAGTGTGTGGGCCAGCAGCATTAGCAGCACTTGGGAGCCCAGCCCTAGTGCAGGATCTCAGCCCCACACAGAGTAACTGAACAAGACTCTGCATCTAGCAAGGGTTCCCTGGAGATGGGTGTGCAGCTCGAGTTTGAGGAACAAAAGCTTTGGCCATCTTTCAGGTGTGTGGTTCTGCACCAGGTGAACGAGTCAATAGAACATGATCTAAAAGCTGCCCTTGGGGCAGAAGCAGGGTCCTCAGAGGGCCACCTGTGGCGGGCATGTTTCTGGAGACCATCCCAAATTGTCATCCAGTCTTCCTACCGGCAGAGAGGGAAACTGAGGCACAGGACCTACCAGAAACTGAGGGATTCTCCACCAACGGGGCTGGACCACCCTGGGATCCATGGTCACGTCATCACAAATGTCCCCATGTCATCACGTGCACCCAGGAATAGGCCCCAAGTGCAGAGTGGGCAACAGTAGCAGCTAGTAAGTGACAGGCGGGAATGGTGCCTGGAAACGCAGGAGAAATGGGATGGACAACAGACTGTCTTCTTTCCCTGATCGTGGCCTAAATCACAGTGCTCGTGTGCTCTAAGACAAAGCAACCTCATACTGTAGAGAAAGAAATAGTACACACACAGGGAGTTTGCTGTTTAGGCGCAGACCATCTAGAATCACAGATGAGACGCTTTTGAAGTTGACTGCCTTCTGGAAGGGAGAACTATAAGCTGGGGAACTGGAAATTGATGGAGGAAGAGAAGGAAGAAGAAAAGGAAAGAAGGAAAGCAAGGGAGGGACACTGACATTTAAAAATAATAATAATAATAATAATAATAATAATAAAATAAAAGATAGTTGAGTCTCCTGTTACATATGCAGGGTTAGGTTTAAAAGTCCTCCCAGATATTCAGGCCACAAAGCCATCTTTTCTATTATGACCCTCTGTTCACACCTAGTGCTTTGTCCCTCACACCCAGCACATCTATGGCTGAACATGCTTGTGTGAAAGAATCTGGCAAGGGCACGTCCCGGGTGGCAGACAGCTCCCTTGTTTATTTGCTCCCACAAATCGATGGACACTAGAGCTACCCCACCCTGCCCAAATCCCAGGGGCTCCTGACTCCAGTTCACCTGGCTTCGTTAGACAAGGACAAATCTCTTGTAGAAGATTCTAACTAAAACTCTGGTCTCCAGAGACTTCCCATGACTAAAGGGGATTGGGGGACACAATGCTTACACTTTGTGTGAATGTGAGTACATGAGAATGGAGATAGGATACAAACAGGAAATGACAGGTCAAATCCTAATTCTGGAATAAGTAGCATTGATTATGCTGAGTTTATAAAGCTTTTCTTAAATCCTTACTGGGAGGAAATAGAAGAGAAATCGGATTTAAAGGTGGGGAGACTGAGGCCCTGTAAGGTGTGTGGTAGAACCAGGAACTGAGTGTTGTACCTTTGCTGTCCCAGAGCACAGGCTTCTTTTGTGTCCCAACATCCTTGTCGGTGACTGGTGTCCCAGCCACCTTCCCGTAATGACCTGCCCATCTACCTGCTGCTGGAAGCATTACACTCTATCTTTAAGGCTGGTGATTAGACACTGTTTTTTGGTGTTTTTTTTTTTTAGTTTTTTTCTTTTTCTTTAGACTTTCTTTACAAAAAGCTTCTCTGGGTCTTCAGATGAAAATTTATTCTACTGATAAGGAAAGTGATGGCAATGTTCCGTTGAGCCATGGAGCTACTACTGATGATGTATAGTTGGACCAAAAAAAAAAAAGGCCAGCTTTCAAGTCAAAATGTCCCCAAACTGTGTCCTTAAAAAAAAAAAAAAAATGTCCTTGCTACTCAGCCCTGTCTGACATTTGGTAAGTTGATCTCTCTGATGCTCTGGTTTCTTCATTTTTAGAAATGGCAACAGCACCAGCTAATGTTTATCAAATGTGAGCTCTATGTGTCCACTGTGCCAGTGGTATTCTAAGTAAGCACTCTGTATTTCCCCAGTCATCCAGTACTTGTAACACACGATCACTAATCTCCCCGTATAAATGAGAAAGCCGAGGCACAGAGAGGTGAAGTGACTTGCTCAAAGCCACGCAGCTAATAAATGTCAGAACTGGCATTCTCCAGTGGTCTGGCTGGAGTCTGGGCTCTCACATTAACAGAGATGTTCTCATAGGCGGTCAGGAGGGCTATGTGAGATCATCTGACCCAGAACAAGTACTCAATAAATTGTAACTATTGGGTATCACTTAGAAATTAATTTCTTTGGTTAGGCCGGAGCAGGGCTCAGTATAGTATGCACGTGGCTAATGAGAAGCTGCCTACAGTGCTAGCATTCGGCCTCGAGAGTGTGCCACAGGCAGGAGCTCCAGGGCTCAGCCCCAGGGTCTCCATACTGACCACTTTCACAGGGAGCCCACACAGAAATCTAATTTGGGGTGGCCAGGATGGGAATAGGTCTGATGTCCACCTGGCAAGAAGAACAGCAGGTTCCAAAATGGGCCGGACGGATCAAATCCCCAAGGCAATGCCCATGGGCTCGCTGACTCATTGCTTTAGAAAGTCTCTGAAATTGGCTAATTGCACAGAGTTTCGAGAATGATTCCTTGTAAAGATGAGGCAGCATGACTCAAAAAATTGGTACAATTAAAGATCTGGGGTGGAAGAAGAGTCCACTGGCAGCTGAACGACCAGCTTTCTTCCCCGATGCAACTTTCCCCAGTTCTGCGCAGGTATCTGGAAGAGGCACATGGCGGCCGTGGCGAATCCTGTTGTGCCCGTCACGGTCTAGCCTAGGGTGGACTCTCGGCCCCATCTGGCCAGTGAGACAGAAGGGGAGTCTACTGGGGATTTCTGGGGAAATTCTGAGCCTGAAGAGAAGAGAAGAGAGTTGCAGTAGGAAGGAACCCCTTTTCCTTTTGGATGTTCTTCCGGCCTGAAACACTGCTGGATAGGTTAGGTCTGCAGCATGAAAGAGCACCACAGAGATGCTAATTCGATGCCCTCGGGCCATCAGATGCATGCTTTCTGAGACATCTGGTAACAGCAGGTGCTGGGGAAGACACAGGAAACAGAAAGCCCTGCACACTTACCGGTATAAGTGTAACCTGGTGCAGTCATTCTGGAAGACAACCTGGCAGTACTCGTGAAATTAAACACGAGCACAGCCAATGACTCATCCATCCATCCCCGCCCGGAGTCCGCCCAGAGAAACTCTCCCACAGTCCCTGCGGGCACAGGTGCAAGGTGTCACCACAGAACTTGGCTGTGCTTCCCTAGTGTCCATCTCCAGGGGCAAAGGAGTGAACAGGGCAGGACCAATGGCAAGGGAAGGCCAGATGCAGCCCTCGGATGAGCTATGTGTACAGAATGAAGAGAAGATCTCTAAGAGAACCCCATTTGTCTAAATTAAAAAGTGCCCAATCATGGCCCTGCAGCAGTCCACCTGTGCAGCACCCAGCAAAGGCACCCGAGTGGACGCCGGTGAGGAGCAAAGGGAGCAGAACGGGCAGAACACAAGAAGAATGACAGGGATCCTGCAGAGGCCAGAGAGAACGTGCCTTGAACAGAGAAGACTTTCATAAAAATTCAAAAGATAAAATGCAACCGGATTGGGAGTCAGAAAACCCAGCTAGTCATGTTTCCAGGACTGATTCTTACTGGCTGTGGGCCCTCTGGCAGGTCACTTACAGCCTCAGTTTCCCCACTGCAAAAGCAGATACAAAGGGAAGGCCTGTAGAGGAGACGTGTGCGCAGCCCGAGTCTGGAATGCAGCAACTGAATGACAACTGAGGACTGCGCTTTCTCGTCTGTAAAACGGGGACATTACCTAGCTGGTATCTTTAGGGTGAGGTTTCAGTGAGACAGGACACAGGCAGGACAAAAAGCACAATGATGAACGACGCTGTTTGGTACACTTGGGAGGAAGGGAGCATATCCCCCAGGGAGCTCAGGCTCATACCAGGCACTGTGCAGGGAGCACAGCAGCACATCGCACCCTCACTGGGTGCGGCACACGGGCCCTTCAGACCTGGAAGCATGGGCAGCCCCTCCCTGCAGGGCACCCGTGGCTCACTCCCCCGACCCCCCGCAGGGCACCCATGCTGTTTTGGGCAAACACCTGAGAGAGGGGACATCTCAGGCTATCTTTATGCTCCCACTCCTGGACACCTGGGGCCTTACAAATCCACATAGATATGTCTTTTTCTTTTCTTTTGTGGCAGTGAATCCATTTTTAACTAGATGAGCTAGGTTACCAAAAAGAGAAAAGACACGAGGAAGAAACAATCATCACTTGCCTGCTATGCTACCAAATAAGCCAATCTTCACTTTTCCAACAAAGAGCTATTCTCTTTCTGTAACTTCCTATAAGGAAGGACACATTGCTGTATGTGACTGTCACATCAGGGATGGTGGCCACTCTCCTTAAAGTGAACACCTCTTCCCCATCCCTCAGATGTCTGGCAAAGATGCCTTGGCGCCCAAGTACCATGTATCCTTGGGTGTCTCCTGGTCTCCAACTTTGCTCCCAAATGTGCCCGGCTTCAAAAAACCTCCCACCTGCAAACGAGTGCCTTCCCTCCTGGAGCGTGTCTTTGAAATACGTTCCGTAAACAGGGATACGAGGTCAACATGGTGTTTGATAACTCCTGACAAACCGTTTTTTCCAAAAGACCCATTTATGTGGCCACGTGTGGTGGAGGCACAA